TGTTTTTTCCTGTGTGGTTCAGCGTGGCTGCGCATGCCCTGTTATGCACTGGGCCATGGGTGACCGCCATACCTCCACAAAGAGTTATGTGACAACATTGTATGTTGCTGGTTTGCGAGGTGAAAAACACACAAAAAAGGGAGGAATAAAGGAGCAAACTTTGCACAGGTAATCTTTGTGCTAGTGATCCCTGCGCACGTACACCCCCACCCCATTTTAATTGGTGGGGGGGGTGTTCTCCCTGCTGCTTGTTTCAGTTCAGCAACGATAGCAAAAGATATTTTGTACATTTTAAAAATCTTTACCAGTTGTGAACTGTTACTTATTTGTTTTCTAATGAACAAGCAGTTAAGCTTTGAATGACAGCTGCAATTTTGGCTCTCACTTAATGTCATCACAACATCATTATGTTGTTGCTAGGAATTCCAGTTGGTGCGTCTGTGTGTTTAATTTCCCTCCCACCAAAACATGCATGCAAATAAACACCAATTCATTTCTAGAGCAACATTAAATTAAACAGCCTGGCTAATGACTGAACGCCGGTTATCTGCCCCTCCGCATGATATTCACTTAGACACACCACTCGGCAAACCAAATGTCACACCCACTTTATTCCCGTCATAACCTCATTGTCTTTCCCCAAGGCTTGGCCTCAGTGGCGGAAGCTGGGGTGAAGCTCCCTCAATATCGGCTTGGCAACATCCTGTGCTTTCACACATACGCACTTGTCTCTGACAAGTGGCACCTGGTGGTCAGTGGTGGGTTTCAAATTTGTTTAGAACTTCTTCTGTAGGTGTGGCCTGCTTTGGGAGTGGCTTGCAAGCCATGTGACTGAGTGGGAGTGGCTTATCAGCCATGTGACCATGTAGGAATGGCTTGCTGGCCATGTGACCGGGCGGGAGTGGCTTGCCGGCCATGTGACTGGGTGGGAGTGGCTTGGCCATGTGACTGGGTGGGCATGGCCAACTTGTAAAATGTGGTGAAACTCACTTAACAACGCTCTTGCTTAGCAATCAAAATGTTGGTTCAGAAAC